CGCGAGTCCTCGTCGCGAGTCGCGAGATTCCTGGCTGCACTCCGCCACACTACGTTTTGGGCTCGTTTAGGCTCGCCCGAACTCGAAATTGAGTTTCGTTTATTCTTACGCGTCGCTAACGAAACCCTCTATCCAATAATGTAGTACACTTGCACTAAACTCCCGACATACAATCCCCACACGTCTCGTGTGGAGTAGCCGAACCATATATTTTTTAGAACCAATCTCATTGTTATGGAATATTTGTGTTCAAATAACGTAGTCTAAAAAAAAAGAAAAAATACAAACCAATCTCATTAATGTTTTACAATAATAATAATAATAATAATAATAAAAATTCATTACATAATTATTTTGACTTGGCATAATCCGCCTTAAATTTAGCCAATTCATCTGAGTACCGCTGCGCCAGCAGAGGATCATAACCTGTAAAATCCCGCAAGGATTGCGAAAAAAGGCTACAAACACGGTCCATCCACTACAAAAAATGGAAGGAAAAAAAATTTATGTTAAATATTTATAAAAACATAAAATTATTGTAATCAAATAACAACTACAATTTAACATGAGACTTACATAGTCATTGTTGGCAAGCGTAGGGACCTCGTTCTGGTCCAGCAGATTCTCGCCCAAACATTTAGGATGGAAAACCCGACGGTACCACTGCATGTACTCCGCAGTCGCCTCTGCTCGATCATCTGTGCTGGCCTTATACATACTGAGGTTGACGGTATACAATACCGGGAATTGGTTCCACATAGATACTGCACTGACATCAGAATGCTCAACCTTGTAGAGCCTCGACTCCCAAGGACGGCAGACACTGATTGGCGCGAACATAGGGGGAGGGACTGTCTGGACATACCCTAACTGTCGCAGAAACCGCACAGGATAGTACGACTCGACTATATCGCGGTACCGAATTAACCCGCAATAAATAGTCCTCGGCTCTATCTCGTGCGGGGTAGAGGTGTCGTATGGCAACCATTGCACCTTTTCACAATTGCATAAAAACATTTATAAAAATATTTATATTATTTTAAATAACGAGTAACTAAATTTAAATAAAAAAAACTTTACGTACATCGGAGGAAGTGAGCATGTCAAGTCTCCGACGGATGGCTATGAGACACTCGTCCTTCCTCTGACTCGCCGGTGGGCTCCACATCTGAGATCGTGCGGAGTCGTTAGGACCGAGGGGTAGACGTCCCCCCTGGGGTCGGAAATTGGGGAAATACTCATAAATCCAAGACGGGATAAGAGTTAAGCAGCCGGAAAGCTGTCTGGAGTCCCCTCTGCTGGCAATACCTAACTGTCGGTACAAATATGCTAGCGTAGCCGATCCCCACGAGTAACCACCAATGGCATCCACGCCGTTAAGCACCTCAGCTAGGAGCTTGTGAGTCACTCTACTACTACTCTTGTCGCCGAATAAGGTGGTAGACAGCAGCAACCAAATCCAGGCACCAGCCTCATCCAACGCCAACTGGTCTTTACCCCAGAACTTTTCCACAACGGAGCCTTCTGCCACACAACTGCGCTGCTAGAACGTCCCAACGAGGTCAGTCTTACTGACCGAAAGTATATCCATGTAATAATCCTGACAGGCCTTTGTATCCAGCTCCTCAACGACCATGGATCCCTCTACAGGAATGTACAAAATGGCCCAAACATCGTGCAGCATAATGCTCATTTCACCAAAAGGCAGGTGAAATGAGTTAGTATATGGTTGCCATCGCTCCACAAATGCAGTAAGCAGTGGAGTGTCCAAGTGGGCGTGCATGGAGTCTGCTAGATGTGACAGTCCAGTACCCTTGATCATATCAAGTGTCTCGGAAGACATATCACCTCGCCAATCTTTTAGATTACCGAACGCTTGCACTCTGAGATGGCATTTCAGTAAGCCTCGACACTCTCCATTGCACAACCGCGAGGCTACGTGCCCTACAAAGATAGGGATCACACTGTCATCCATAGGCCCACCGTCCACTGGGACCTCTAACGATCCACTCTGCCTCATGATTAGTCCTAGATCGTTTGCTAGTACCTTCATTAGAATAGAACATAATGTCACTAAAACAGGGCTAAAGGTCGTTTTGATATATAGTGCGCGAAAAACGGAGCCAAAACGAGTACAAACGAGCAAAAAAAGCAGAGTCTGTTAAACTCGCGAGTCGCGACTTATCTCGCGACTCGCGAGTCGCGAGATTTGTCTCGCGAGTCGCGAGCTTGACAGAGCAGCAATAGCCAGAATCTCGCGACTCGCGACATCAACTCGCGACTCGTGACTTTACTCGTGACGCGCGAGATGAGGTCGCGAGTCGCGAGATTCTGGCACTTTTGGCTCTGTGAAATCGCGACTTAATCTCGCGCCTCGCGACATTGTCTCGCGAGTCGCGAGTTTAACAGAGCCGAAATCTGTGAATTCCCGACTCGCGACTTCATCTCGCGAGTCGCGACTGTACCAATAACTTGTGATAACACCCTATTTAATAACAAACAACAATAAATACGTAAATTATTTACCTGAGGATCCAGTGCTAACAAAACGCCCCCCAGCCTGTCGTGGAGGAGCAGGATGAACAGGCCGTGAAGGAGCCGCAGGCTGCACAGGAACCGTAGCCTGTGCAGGAATATCGTTATCGCCCTCATCATGTGAAGATGCCGACTCGTCAGAATCCTCAGCCATCTGGGCTATCGACTCATCAACATAATATCCCTGCTGACCGTACGATGCTGGTGCTGGTGCAGGGGGTATCAAGCTGCCTGACTGGCCAGCAAAAACATATCTATGCTGACTGAGCTCGTACAGTGGTGGTGCACCATATCCCTGCTGACCAACTGGTACTGGTGGTGTACCATATCCCCTTTGACCATGTTGTAGAGGTGTCTGCAGTCTCGAACTGCCTGCCTGGCCAGTCTGTACCCTCCGAGCCTCTTGGATAATGAATTCTCGATCCCGACGAGCGGACGCAGTTATACCTCGTTGCTTCGGGTGTCGGTGTCCAGATTCGTCAATATACTCAACCATCTCGTCGGCGTTCCTATCAGATCGTTCAAGCCTACCAATACCTTAAATCACCAATTTAAATAAAAATTAGTAAATATATATTTTTTTAAATTTTGTAAATATTTTTTATTTAAAATTTAATTTTTAAAGTCAAATTAAATTGATTAATTTATTACTTATAATAACGTCTTAAGTCAATATTAATTACTTATTAATTAATTTCAAATTTAATAAATATTGTAGTAACTATTATAATAGTAATTATAATTTATAATATTCACTAATTTTTTTTTATTTGTTATAATTAATGTTTTATTATTATTTACTTATTATAATTTTTTTTAACATAATTATAATACTTTTTTATTGCTACAATAATTATATTAATTATATTTTATAATTTTTTATTATAAAATTATATTAATTTTTATTTAACATAATTATATTCTTTTAATTTTTTTTATTTAATTTTTTACTAATATATTCTTATTAAAAAAAAAACAAAAATCTGTCCGGCCGATCCGTGACCGGTCGGGGGGGCCGGTTCACGTACCGTAAGTCCGGCCCCCATATCCGGACAGATGGGGTACGGTCGGCCGGGTCGGGCCGAGCACTGAACCGGGCGGCCGGTCGCTGTGACCGGTCGCCCACGGGCCGTACGAGATCGCCGACCGTACGGCCCATGCTGCGTCCAGATGCGCCGACCGGACGCGGCCCCAGTTTTTTTTTTTTTTAAATTCGAATAAAATGTAAAAAAAATAAAAATTACCTTGTTAGAGAAGAATGCTTTGCCGAGGCCGTAGGATTTTTTCGACATTTTTTTGAATTTTTTTAATACTCGAATGACTCGTTAAAGTCTTGGGAAATTTAGAGAGAAAGAGAGAGTAGAAAGAGGAAAGAGAAAGTGTAGAAAGGATGGAAGGGCAAAAACGTAAAAGGGGAGGGCGGTGACTAGTAAAAAAGGCATTAAATAGCGATTCACATTAATATACACAACGAATTTGATCAGCACTTAACAAGAATGGGATAAACCCAAAAAAAAAAAAAACTAATTAAAAGGTCAATGCTACAGTGAACGCTGGGTTCCGTGATCCGTCCTTCCCGAAGTGACGCCAGAGTTGGTCGTCCCCGTGCTTGCCCGCCGAAGGTCGCCGCCGGAAACACCTTGAGTTTCCCGGCGCCAGTTTTGTTCCCTTGAGTGATATTATTTCAGGTACGTTTTCTAATGAAATTGTACAATGAGTGGATAGCAATCACGAGCTATTATGTTCGTCGAATGAAAACATTAGCAGGATGTAGGATTCACAGTTCTCCTTTTGAGTTACTTTAGTGACTGTGAATTTAAGGAATTAACCACGAATTGGGCCGATTAATTGAGTTGGAAAAATGTGGTGGGAAAGATAAATATGCTTCAGAATGTTAAGTCCTATGAGTTAAAAAAATTGTGTCTTTCCAGAATGGTCTTAGTGACTCAGTGAGTCAGTGGTTATGATACTGAAAATCTAGTGGGCTTTTTCTTCTGGGGAGGCTCTGGCTTTTTCTGAAGTTGGAGTATGTCTCTCTTTGTTACGAAAAGTGGGTTAAAATGGATCAGCATTGTGCCTTGCTTTTCTGAAAATCTAGTAATTTATTTGTGGATTATGAAATTTTCTTGTCGGATATATGTTGCTACACCCCGTTTCTTGAAATTGTGAGCTAGAACATTCAAAAGGAAGCACGAGCTTTTAGTGTTCTGTAGTGTGTACTCAATTATAAAGTAGCTATTGTATTGCTTATGATGATATGATGGCCTAGGATATTTCCTGATGTCAGCAAAGAAATACGCGGCTTTGGTGTACTGATCTTCGTATCTTACTTGTATTTAACCCTGCAACTCGTTTTTGAGGACCTTTTTGTTGTTTAGCGTAAATCTGCCTGCGTGCAGGCTGTACCTGGGGCTGGGCTATTCAGCTGTGCCTAACCCGTCGTAATTTGGACTATAATCTTGAAGATGTTCTCCCTCCATTCGTTATCTTTGTCTTCAGCTAAGCCCCTTCCAGTAAACCCACGTAACTCTTCTCTACGGAAACTCATAAGCACGGTTACCGCCTACTCAATTTCCAATGCTTCCGACTCTGATGATGCACTGGCCGCATTTTCCGGTCAGCAGAGTAATTATTCTGGTGCGAAAATAGAAGAACCAGTGGAATTGAAATCCGGCAAGCTGAGATTGGACTCATGGATCTCTTCTCGCATAAACGGAATCAGTAGAGGTAGAGTTCAGTCCAGCATTCGTTCAGGATTGGTGACTGTTAATGGCCATGTCATCAAAAAGGTTGCTGATTTATCTTTTATCCGTATTTCTAATAATTCTAATACTTCTGTTCATTATTTTTTTCAGAAAGTACATTCTGATTGATGAATGTGATTTTTCTTGCCTTTCCAAATTATAGGAAATGTTTGAGTCTTGTCTTACCCTTTTTTTAATATATGAACGAGTTTGTTAATTATGATTGATTGTATTATATTGAAGGTTTCTCACGTGGTGAGAGATGGGGATGTGGTGAACTGCCAGATAGCGGAGTTGCAGCCTTTGAAGGCTGAGCCAGAAGACATTCCTTTGGATATAGTTTATGAAGATGAACATGTGCTTGTTGTTAACAAGCCTGCTCACATGGTGAGCCTTTCCAACCGTAATTTTATCCACTTTCTTTCCTTGTTTTTATTTCCTTCTCCGAGAAGCTACAAATTGAAATGACATTGGAACTTGTGCACCATTTGATTGGAAGCAGAAAGTCGACCTAGAATTTTGTCGGTTACTATATGCTCTTGAAAAACAACATCTTTTCTTGGGCGTTGGTTCCTTGAAGTTAGCACATATTTTGAAGTTAGAGAATGGTAAATCAAAAGAATTTTGATTCTTTTCTAATTTTCTTCCTTAAACATCATTAAATGATTGAATCACACTGATTTTTCTACACACTTCACTGAAGATTATCCTTTGGTGCTGTTAAGAAAGATTTATATCTGGCTTTAGGGCATGGTAAACAAAATTGGATTCTACATTCTCTTTTCTTAAATATCATTAAATAAATAATTGGTGCAAGTCGTACTTTTTCTTCCCACATATATAGGACTGCTTGTTAGAGTCTTAACAAAGGATTCGTCTTTTAACCAGGTTGTTCATCCTGCTCCAGGAAATCCAACAAGTACACTTGTAAATGGAATTCTTCACCACTGCAAACTTTCCACCGTCTGTTTCAGTCCAGAAGCACTGACTGAGACTGATGATGATTCAGGAGATGATGTCTGTGCTTTTCCTGTAAGTCAAAGTCGTAATGAAAGTAATGGCATTGGCTTATCTGAGGAATCTGTACGCCCTGGAATTGTCCACAGATTAGATAAAGGGACCAGTGGATTGCTGGTCGTTGCAAAGGTGCGTCAATGTTTCAGTTTCGGAAAATGTTGCTTGTTACATTCAGAAAAGTTGAAGCATTCTTCCGTTTTTTTTCTCTTTAT